TTCCAACTAGCTCCAAACCTTATTTCAATAACCATTTAGGGGATTTTTTGCCACCATTTTGTAGAGTTTGCTTTGCTCTATACAGCATCCCAAGCCCTTTAAGACAAAAACATTCAAAAAATGTTGACTTTTAGGGCCGCCTAATATATCGCAATAATGTTAGTTCATCAAATTCTCGTTGATAAATCTCATTCTGTCTCTGGCACGTGATTGTGAAGTGTATTAAAAAGAATCAGACATTTGATTCCGCTCATATGGTCCACCTTCCGATCAGTTGTATGCATATTTTGAAACCCACATGTTTGCACTTTCTCTTCATTGTAGTCCACTATTGGTTCTCTGCTCTGAACCCAATACACTTTTCATGATCGATCTTCCGCTCTATAGCAAGTTTTCTAGTTATAGGATACAGGGACTGTACCGCGCTAACCATCTCATCCGATCTCATCATGATGAAGAAAAGTGCGCGGAACAACGGTTAGCGGATATTCCGCAGTTTTTTGCGGCTGAATTTGAGTTTTCATAGTCCGTTTCGATACTCCGATTAACAAAAGGAAGATAATAGAAATTTTACTTTGTATGCTGCTGTACAAAATATATGTGTTCTTTGGCGGAAACTAAATTCAACGCCGGCTGCCATCCTCGAAGAAGACTCCTCCATCGATAGCGCAGTATTTGGGACAGATACCCCTTTCTCCACCGCTTCCTGGTGGTCCTGCGTCTCCGTGTGTTCCAGGATTTCCATCCGCGCCAGGCTCACCATCAGATCCTGGGGGTCCTTTGGGTCCAGGTTGTCCTAAAACGCAGTAATGAAGGAGTTGAAGATTATAGACATTATATTAACGAACCTGGTTGTCCATCTTGTCCGGGCTGTCCTGGAGCTCCAGGTGGTCCTTGCGGTCCAGGCTCTCCTGCAGGTCCGGGCTCTCCAGGTACAAGTGGCTCTGAGACGGCATCCTGTCCTGGTTGTCCGGGCTCTCCAGGAGCTCCTGGATTTCCGTCCGGTCCGGGTGGACCCTTAGGTCCAGGCTGTCCAGGTCCACC